ACCTTAAATCAGTGGTTCTCAACCTTATTAATGCCACGACCTTTTAATACAGTTCCTTATGTTGTGGTGACCCACCAACCATAAAATTTGTTGCTACTTCATAACTGTCATTTTGCTACTGTTATGAATTGGGTGACCCCTGTGAAAGGGTCGTTTGACCTCCAAAGGGGTCGCGACCCACAGGTTGAGAACCACTGCATTAAGCGCTCTAGATAAAACATCTAAAAGATACATAGGGTAGGTGGGAATTTCCCTTTTACTTTGCATATGTTGATTTAATTTGAATTTTTTATTGTTAACATGTATTACTATAGCTAAGACAAGAAAGTGCATAAAAAGGAGGAAACCAGTAACTGCGTTTCCTGGTGAAAGAAACCATTTTATAACCTCGCTTTCCTCTCTCTCCTCCAAGTTACAAAAGTTTATCTAAAACAATGTATTGCTATCAATATGGATCCTCAGATAAGCTTCTAAAAACAATAGCTTAAAAATGTTGCTGAAAGCAACACATGCCATATTGTTTATTTTATATCAGAATTCAGTTTGGGGAAAAAGAATACAAGAAAGGAAGCAGAAATTAAGAGACCCACCAAACAAAACAAAACCCATCCCCACTGAATTGATTCTGAATCATACAGTCAACTGCCTCTTTGGGTTTCTGAACCTGTCCATCTTTACAGAGCAGTCTTCGCTTTCTCCTAAGGAGTGACTGACTAATGGGCTTGAACAGATGACCCTGCCGTCAGAAGCTCAATGTGCTCGCCCATTATGCCAATTTGTTTAGTTTAGCTGCTTTTAGGTGGGTAGTGGCTATAGAATTTGGACCTATCTTTCCACGGCCTTCCAATAAAAACATCTACGTCGTTCAACACATATTTGCCACACTATTATATGACACCAGTAAGTGCACAAGTAAGTCAATCAGATCCTTAAACTCGAAGCGCTTGCAGTCTACAAGCAGGACTGGTACACAAGGACCTAGCTGGAATTATCTTTTATAGGCAATAGGTCTTAAGGTTAATCAGCACACACGGTTGAAAATCTTTTAGTCAAATTATCCTTCAAAATGATTATCAAATTTTCCCTGAGGGGATTTCTCCTTTCACGTCGTTCAACAATCTTCCGATGTACAGTTCAATCGGTGACATTATGTTCATCGTGTTGCTTAGCTATCATCCTTACCCATCTCCAAATTACGCCATCACCCTTAGTAAAGACGCAGGGTCTAATGAGGAATTTGTATACGATTTACATACTTCATATAGTGTCAGCTCATGCCAACTTGGTGCAATAAGGTCGCGTTTCATCCATCAACTGGATGCAAGGGCGAAAATTAGATACCTCTCTTCAATCAAGCGTATTTGGAATTATGTGATCCACACAGAAAGATATCACTGCCCTTATTTTAGAGGAGAGAATTAAAAAACATCTTGACTGGAACCGAAATTCAAGTCTAAGGGATGTTGTTTTCACAAGGCCATTCCACTTCAGTGTGTCCTTCAAAGGGCTGAATACCGAGTGAGGCTGATTTTAATTCCCTGTATGAAGTTTGACACCAGCTTCGGAGGTCAAGTTTGAAAGGCAGCGTCAGATCCAAGTTCTTCAGCACCGAACTCCTTAAAAACTTGTCAAACACCCC